CAAGGTTGGCGGTGGAAGCGGAATCTCCACATACAAGGGATGGTTGGACATTTATAGCCCAATTTTTGTCCCCCCCAATTTACCTTTCTCTTGTAACTTGCACTGTCTACAACCTCTGTCACCATTATGGGCTTGGGGAAGGCTTTTCTCTTCTAGAGCTTCTTCCCAACCATTAGAAACTTGTCTTAATTCTCCACAGCTTGGTTGATGCAGGGCTGCAGCATTTGTTTAAACATGTCAGAAGACTCAGAGACCGGAAGGTTAATAACATTTCTTTCAAAAGGGTTTCCGGGTGTGATTGTCTGGGAACTCAGGGCTATCTTTACATGTCCACCGTGGACACGGCTTCCCACTTTGCACCCCCTCTGCCACCACATGACTACATCTTTGGATCCAAATATATACTCAGAGTGGAGGCCACAGACGGGAACAAGCTTCCTCTCCATCCAGCATGAGGCCTGCCTTCCCAAGTTCACAGCCTCCTCTGCTGAGACTGACTGATGGTGGCTGAACTTACTCCCTTCAGGGAAGATCCTGCCCCGGTCCATGGCCTTGGGAGACCACACAATCCAATCTCTATGTGGAAAAAAAAAAAATCTCCACATAGAGGGAGATTTGTTTTACAGAAGCCCTTTTGATCTCTGCCCTACCACTCCTGAGTGCCATCCCCAACAGAAGATACCTCACCATAAGTCACAGGGAGACAGAATTCCTTTCGAAGAGGAACCAATGAAACAATGGCATCTTTCTGTTAAGTGGCAACCATTTGTATTCATAGGCTGTTAGACTGCAATGGAGAGCACAGATTATTCAGCCAAGTGGAGGCCCCTCCCTTTGCAGATAGGAAACTGAGACCCAGAAAGGGAAAGTGATTTTCATACTGTTGGCTAATGGCAAAAGTGGGACTAGAATCCAGTTTTTCTGATCCCCAGCCCAGTACTCTAAAATATTGGCCCATTCCATATAGCGGAGCACTTAGACTGTCGTATTGTAAACTTTAATTCACATGGAGACCAGGTTACAACAACGTGGAAGAATACTTCTGAATCATCAGCGAACCCAAAATGACAGTCTTAGCCCTCCTGGATGAAGGGCTTTAACCACACGAATGTGACAGCAGAGGGAAAATATTTCAGAGGTTCCCTAATGTTCTATCTCCTGGTTGCCTCTTAAACTGATCCCCCTCCCCTGTCTTTCTGCCTCCACTTGAGCCAACCTAGTCAAACCATTTCTTCATCCCAGGTGACTAATAACAAAGTCCCAGATCCTAAACACAGTCCAGAAGGGTCTGGGTGTCCTGGTTTCATCTTACTTTTCCAGCTTTTTTAGAAAAATGTTTTTATTTTTGAGAGAGAGAGAGAGAGAGAGAGAGAGAGAGCATGTGCATACATGAGTGGGGGGAGGGACAGAGAGAAGGTGACAGACAATCTGAACAGGTTCTGCACTTTCCACACAGATCCTGAGGGGGGGCTTGAACCCACGCACCAGGAGATCATGACCTGAGCGGAAGTACGACGCTCAACTGACTGAGGCACCCAGGTGCCCTCACCTTTCCTTCCTTTTACCCATCCTTTCCATCTCTCTGTTCCAACCAGGTGTGGTTCCCCAGAACTCCTCAAATAAGTCATTTGCCCCCCACCACCATCTCTTTCTCTAACAGAGAAAAGAAAAAGAAAAAGATTCTGCCTAGAAAGCTTTTTCTCCTTTCCACCACTGAGATCACTGGTTCTCCAACAGAGGGGAATTTTACCCCCCACAGGACGTTTTGCAATATCTGGAGACATTGTTTTGTTCTCACAACTGGCATCCAGTGGGTAGAAGCCAGGGATGTTGCTAAACATCATACAACGGGCAGGGCATTCCCCCGCGACAGAAAATTATCCAGCCTAAGATGTTTTAGCGCTAAGTTGAGGAACAGTCAGTCTTCAGAGCTTCACTTAAATACCACTTCTTCCATGAAGTCCTCCCATGATACTGTATATTGGTTGAGGTCCCTTCCCCCTCAGTGTGTTCCCACTCTTCCCTTCTCCTTCTCCATCTTGGCACATGGGAGTATCTGAGATCATGGAACCCGTGCCTTCCCCACCAGCCCATTAGCTCCAGGACAGAGTAGGTGTTTGGTTCACTACTGATCCCAGTGCCCAGTGCAGTTAGGGATTGCTTTTTGCCCTATTGACCCTACCACACAGAGAAAGGTGGTTTACGCAGGTGACGTGGCTTTTACCAGGGCTTACTTGGGTTTTGGAGGGCTTCAAACACAGACCCACAGATACCCATGGTCAAGAGCACAGTCTGGGGATCCTGGCAGAAGTGGGTAAATATCATAATTCTACCACCTCCTAGTTGAGTGACTTTCAGTAAGTTACTTAATTTCTCTGGAACTGGGTTTCATCGTTTGTAAAAGAAGCATAAAAATAGAACCTGCTTCATGGTTACCGTGAAGATGAAAAGGTGTGGTATACGTGAGGTACTGAGCGCCATCTCTGACATGGGGTAAGGGATTAACCACTAAGAGGAAGAAAGGGCCGTGGGATGACATGACCCATTCTGAAAGTCCACCATAATCCCCAGGCCCTGGGTGGTAGGCATAGCGACGTGGAAGGAACATCAGGAGACTGCCGATCAACCTCTCCTGAACTCTCTCCACTCCTTAGAGTGTGCCTACAAACATCCCCTCTTACCTCTCCCTTGGGCTGGTTATATGAACCCTAAATAGCTCCCCACCCAACTAGAGGGGTACCTAAAAATCACCTATAGGTAGGGCTGCAGGCAGCTTTCCAGACTGCCTCTTTCCCCCTCCCTCCTGGACCCTCTTAAGAGCTCTGGCCTGGCACCCCAGGTTTCTCCTCTGGATCCCACCTCTCTGGCCAGCCTTCAGACGGCAGCCCATTTAGACCCAAGTCTAGCTTTCTCTGTCTTCCTGGGCTCCGCCTGTGGTGCCAGCTGGGGCCCCACCCCCTTACCAGCCTGGCCCCACCTCCCACCCGGTCTGAACCCTGGTCCACAGTCAGGTATCACAGTTCCCACCGGATCTGGCTCTGCAGGGGAATTTGCAACATTCGCACGGAACGATTCCCAGAATTTGATTGCTATCCTTCCTTTTGCCCCGGAGGAGGAGGATCTTTTCCATTCCCAGCCCTCTTTGCTTCCTTTCCCCAACACCCCACCCTCATTTTAGACATTCAAAAGCTGTTTTTAAAAGAGACAAAGGTCCACTTCCTACGCTGCTCAGGTCAGCAAACAGAAGTGTCCATCTGAAGATGGACGGCTAGATGGGAAGAGGGCGGCCCCGCCCGGGCAGTGAGGATGCCAAATGAGGCACGTGGGAGCCCAGACAGGAAATCCTTTAGCTCTGGGAGCAGGTGTGGGAGCCGAGTCCCACACGGGTAGCCATGCACAGGAACCCCCTTGAGAGAAACCCCTCCCTGTCCACAGAGCCCTGTGAGCAGCAGGGCGGACTCCAACAGGGGTCCCCACAGCTGATGGAGGAGAGGAGGAGGCTGGTGGCAGGAGCTCCGCCGGATGGACCCCTGGCCACCAGCCATCCTGGTTCTCTGTGACCCAAGCCGCCCACTCCCAAGGGACTAGCAGGCCTGTCACTTCTGTCACCTCCTTTGGCTTTCTGCCCCGGGGGGCCTGTGGAACCTGATGGGTCAGTTTCTAGATCTAGGCTGACTCTCTTTCCACTTCCTGGTTCTCACACCTTCAACCTGAGAGAGACTGTGTGGTGCCCCTCCCCCTCAGCCTACAAGAGGGATGTGGTTTTTTTGCTCTGGGGTTTTATTTTTGCCCAGAATGCCCAGTGAAAGGGCATTAGGTCTCCTACTCAGCAATTCTGACCCCTGGGAGGTTGTTTAAAGGATCAAAACAGCTGAAGTTAGACCCCTGAAGATTTAAATCACTGACTTGTCTCCATCCCAAAGAGACCATGCTTCGTCTCATGTACGATAAATGGGAGCACGAGGCCTGGAGGTCCGCGTTCTCTCACCACCACCCAGTCTGGTCTTGGCGGGAAGAGCACTTTTGTTTCCTACGTCTCTTTTTATTCTCTCTTTATTCACTTCAAAGAAGCAGACAGGTGTCTTTCCCCCTGCCCTGCATCCCATTTTTTGGCAATCCCTCCGTCATGTGTAAGACAATCTTTGCTCACTGCCTACTAAACATTTGAGTGATCGCACGGAGGGGGAGGTAGCTAGCTCAGCAGGGCTGGGAGTAGGGTGAGGCAGGGAGGCCCCTGGGCACGCGAGGAAAGAGGGCATCACTCTCCAGGTTCTCACGCGCTTCCTGACCCTGACCCTGACCCTGACCCTGGCCCTCTGGCTGATTTCTGGTGAGAGAAAGTTTCAAGGAGGGATGATTTACTCAGAGATGGCTGATAGAGAATAGGAACGGGCCCCACCACGGGTACCTGCCAGCCTCAGCAGGGACACGGGGCCTCGCGGGTCCAGAGGTGTGCCCTGTACAGGCTGGGCACTGGCCCATCAAAAGGTCCCTGCTCCTAGGAACTGCAAAGACAAACTCGTATGAAAGGGAACTTGAAGAAAGTCAGAGGCAGTTGTCCCTGAAGGGGTGCAGGGTTGAAAAGACTTGTAAGAATATTAAATAACACCTTGGGTACTTACTGTGTACCAAGCCCTGTGTTAAATACTTTATGGCCATTATTTTAGAAAATCCCCATCACCAACTCAATAAAGAACTTGGGCTGTGGAGCCTGGCAGCTTAGATTTAAATTTCAGCCTTGCCTCTCTCATGTTATGTGACCTTGGGAAATGACCTGATCTTTCTGGGCCTCAGCTTCCTCATCTGTAAAATGGGAAGAAGAGTAGGACCTACCTCGTGGTATCCCGAGGATCATATCAGGGAATACAAGCAGTGACACAAGCGCCCCGCACAAGGTGAGCACTTGACAAGTATTAGCCACAGTTAGTATTGTTATTGCTTCTTGGAGCTTATTCCTAGGGCTGTCACAACAAAAGTCTCGTAAGCTGGTGGCTTAAACGATGGAAATTTCTCGCGTCAGAGTTCCAGATCAAGGTGAGGGCTGTGAGGGAGAATCTGCCCCATGCTTCTCTCCTACTTTCTGGTGACCTCAAGCATTCCTTGGCTAATAGATGGCCATGTTTTCCCTGTGTCGCTTCATGTCATCTGAGCTCCGTGTGCTTCTGTCTCTGTGTTTCTGTGTTTGCCCCTTGTCTTAGTCTGTTTGGGCTGCTGTAACAATAGCATGGACCAGGTGGCTCTAACAACACAATTATTCCTCACAGTTCTGAAGGCTGGGAAGTCCAAGATCAAGGTAGTAGATCTGGTGTCTGGTGAGAGTCTGCTTCCTAGTTCACAGACGGCCATCCTCTCGCCGTGTCCTCACGTGGCAGAAGGGGCAAGGGAGCTCTCTAAGGTCTCTTCTAAGAGCACTAATTCCAGTCATGAGGGTTCCACCCTCACGACTTAGCCACCTCCAAATACCATCTCACCGGGGACTGGTTTTCAACATACGAATTTGGGGGGGGAACATAGACATTCAGTCTATAGTGTGTTTTTTTATGAAGACTCCAGTCATATTGGATTAGGACCCACTCCAACGACCTTACTTTAACTTGATTACCTTTTTTGTAAAGGTCCTATTTCCGAATAAGCCACATTCTTATGTACTGGGAGTTAGAATAGGACTCCAACATATCTTTTTGGAGGGGACACAATTCGACCCATAATGCCACGCCAGGTAACTCACTTAAGGTCACACAGCTTGCTGGTCATGAAACTGAGTCCGAGGACCCTGGATTATTTGATGACAAATCCCATGTGAAGCCCCAACGCGACTAAACCTTTTCTGGGCAGGGAGAAAGAACCAAAGAGAGACATTCTGAGTCTGCGGTGTTGATAACTTTTCCCTTCCTTTCCCTCTCCCTCTGTAGCCTGCCTCCTCCAGGCCGAGCTGGTGAACTATGAGCGAGTCAAAGAGTATTGCCTCAAAGTCCTGAAGAAAGAAGGAGAGAACTTCAAGGCCCTTTACCGGTCTGGTGTGGCCTTCTACCACCTTGGAGACTATGACAAAGCCCTCTACTACCTGAAAGAAGCAAGGACCCGACAGCCGACAGGTAAGGAAGGCGACAATTGCTTTGTTTTCTTACAGTCAGCCCCGCTGGCAGCTCCTGAGGCCTTCTCCTGGTGGTGCTCAGCTCCCTTGCTGGCACAGCCCAGTGTGGGCCAGGACCTGGAATGAGGAGACTAAACAGTCCGTGCGTTTGCCTGGGGTCTGGGTTCCAGGGAGCTTGGGCACCTCTTTCAAATAGAATATGGAATTCTTTGTTGTTGTTTTTTTTTCCAACCCAGGATCCGGCTCTTTTCACTTACTCAATAAATACATACTGAATTTTTAGTGCATGCCACAGTTTGTGCTGGGCGCCAGGGATGTGACTGAGAAGGTATAGTCCCACCTTGTGAGGATCTCACGCTCCACTTGGCGAGACAGAATACGAATGGATGCTCTTTGGCGCTAGGCTCGGCATCTTACGGGAAGTGTGCTCTGACTTCTCTGGTCAAGTGCCGTTTCTTAGAACCTGCATTACCTGGACCACCCACTTAAATTCATATCCACCAGCTCAGCCATGCATTCATTCCACAGATATTTATTGAGCGGGTCCAATGGGTCAGGAAGTATTGCGTAGATAGCGAACCAAAGGAAGCTGCTACCTTCAAGGAGTTTCTTACGTTATGACAGAGGAAGATGGACAGTAAACAGATGGACAGATAATGTAATATTTAGTAGTGGTAAGTGCTAGGAAGACAATAAAGCAGCGTAAAAGAATCAGGAGTAAAGGGGGTGCTGTTTTAGGCCGGGTCGTCAGGAAGAGCCTCTTTGAGGAGGTAACCGGTGGCATTACTATGTTTGCCTTGAGTTTGACTTGATGTTGCCATGGTTGTTCACGTGGCTGATTTTTTAAAAAATGTGATTCTCCTTCAAAAAGACTTTAAGAACCTCAGGACCAGTTTGCCAACATCCAAATGTATACTTTTCTCCCCATGGTTCGAAAGAACACCCATGTCTTTCCTTTTATGTGCTGTTGATTTGTTTTCTGCATATGAATTGTGTTCTATAGCGCAGACTAAGGGAGACGTGAGGACGAAGGACTCGTTTAACAGAATTTTCTTGGACGCTTCTATATGCCAGCACCGTTCTAGATGCTACCGCTGGCATTTTTGAGTAGTAGACGACATCCATTTCTGCTTCCTGAAGTGTCGCATCCCAGGCAGCCCCGAAGCCCTTGTATCCCGGTGCGCGTAGAGCTAGGTGGCTGTTCCCTGCCATGCCCCAGTCACTAATTCAATGCCTGACATTGGGGGGGGGGAATGCCCCATTTGTGGCGAGGTGGTGCCTGACCTTACTGATCAAGACAAATATAAGACAATGAAGCAGAGTCATTTTAAACTCTTCGATTGGAAAACATTTACATTCCCTCAATATGTATCGCTCATTGGAAGCGCTTTTAGACTTACCTATTTTGGTCCTCGCAACAATTTTATGAAGAAGGCACCATGATCCCCAGGGGAGGCAGGCTGCCAAGTCAGGTGCACCACTTACCGCGCGTCTCCTTGGGCGTCTTAATCTCTCTAGGGCTCAGCTCTCCCTTTTGTCACGGTGAGGATGATGCCAGGTACTCGAGATGATTGTAATGAGGGTTAAATGGATAATGAAGGTAGCAAGCGCGGCCCAAAGTAGGCATTTGAAAAATGGAGGCTGTTTCCTGCGGATGAGACATGAGGCTCAGAGAAGTTGGTAACTTGCCTGAGGTGAAACTCCAGAGTCTCCACCAGCTGTGCTGACTCAGCACCACTGGGATCTGCTGCTGCCTGGGAGTAAGTGGAGGGAGTCCCCCGCTCTCCTCTCCTTCCCATCTGCCCCCTGGGTCCCAGTGACCCGTCCACATTTGGTAGGGGCGGTGGAGGGGAGGCCGGACTCCTGGTCGCCCCCCTCAGGCTCCGTGATCTGCAGACGCAGCTTTGACCTGAATCTGCGTAGAGACCCCCACAGTTCCCCCACCACGCGTTCCCTAAGGTGTGCTTTTGTCCTCGCAGACACCAACGTGATCCGGTATATCCAGCTGACAGAGATGAAACTCAGCAGGTGTTCCCAGAGAGAGAAGGAAGCCATGTAACCAGAGCACCTCCCTAGAGCTGCACCTGCGCCAGACCTGGGACTTCAGGCGAAGAGCCCGATGAAGAGCCCCTCCTGGGTTTTGTTCCCTTCTCCCCACTTCTTCCGGCTCCCCCTCCTTCCTCCTGCTACTCCTCCACAATCTGTCTGCTCCCGGTGTGAAGAGAAGGAGACACACAGTTTGGGAATCTGGTCGGTTGCCCGCAATGGAGAGTCCCCCTCTCTAGTAGGTCAGCTACTGAGAGGGACCTCACTTCTTCGGGGACAGCTGGAGAGGACTCTTACGGGCTGGGAATGCTGTTGCAGCCTTGACTTTGGCCAGTGCTTCTGACGGAGGCAGAGCCTGGTAGGTGTACCGTCCCAGAGGCAGCAGGCACGGAGACCACGGGCTGGACCCCTCCACGCTTTCCCGACACGCCAGAGCATCTCCAGGCAACCGTGTCGAATGCGGGGATGAGACAAACACCAGAAGCATCGGTTAAGCCAACAGACCCTGAATTTGTACACTGGATTCCCCACCCCGACCCCCCGTAACCTCAGCCCCTGCCTCCCTCCCTCACTTGTTGTCTCGGCTTTCTTCTCTCCCCCGCCTTGGGGATCTGAGACTCTGCCAGGTTTCACATGCCACTGAAGCCCACTCTCAGTGCCCTCTGGTGACCACACATACCATTCTGCCATACTCCCACCCAGCAGGCAGCTGTGACAGCAGAGGGGCAGGGTGAAGTGGGCCCGGGGCCGACCGCATAGGTGACGGAGGGGAGGGGAGCTGACGTCTAGGGGAAGGAGCATTGTATGGACTGGGGATCGAACTGTGGACCGAGTGTAAATAAAGATACATTAACGGGCAGCAGTTCCTGTCATTTCTGTTGGGAGCGGCCCACTCTCTCACTGTCCCTCCCTCCCCCAACTCTCAGAGCTACTTCCAGCCGGGCAGGACTGGCTTCCCCCACAGCAATGGGCCGTTTGTCCGGTGGTGAACAATGTGGGCCGCCGCCTTTGTGCAGTAGAGTGGGCTGGTGTTGTGGAGACTGCCCAGGGACTTGGCTTTGTGGGAACTTGCACGGCCTCCTTGTGATGAAATTATCTGGACTCAATATCTAGCACATAGAATGTGTTCAACAAATATTTGTTGAATGAATAAATTATGACTGCAGACTGGCTCCCTCCTGCCTTAAACGAATTTTATCCCAGCCTAGTCTCCCGATATCGACGCTCTTTACGCTATGCCATGTTGCTCCAGTCAAATAAGAAGCATTTACTGAGGGCTTACTGTTTGCCCATCGTCGTGCAATACACTGTGGGACATAGGATGTAGTCCCAGTCTTTAAGGAGGTGGAAGAGTTGAGAAATACTCCTATGAGATGATCACCACTGACACCTTTAATTTATATGATGCTTTAAATTTTTCAAAGCACTTTCGTGTATTTTTTTGTGTGACTAGTGAGACAATATTGTACAAATTAAAATATATACAGATGCAATAATGTTAATAGTTAGCATTTATTAAATGCACTGTCCTCAGATCTTTACATGTATAATCTCATTTCTTTCATGCAGTTACCCCACGAGACACTATTTCCATTAGGTGGAGAAGGAAACTGAAAACCAGACACAGTAACTATCCCAAGGTTACATGGCCTCAAGGGGCATAGCTAGGATTTGAACCAGGTCTGTCTGACTCCAGAGCTCTAGCTACTAACTACTCTGTAGTCAGTAATAGGTGCTCTACAAAGTGTTATATTGAGCGGTTACAACCAGTCGAGAGCAGGACAGTGTGTATTAGGTTGAAAAGCCTTGACTGTGCCAATGGTATAGTAGGTACCACACGTGGGCTGCCTCTTGTATTTAGCTCAAGGTTAAAAAAAGGTTCCTAACACTAGGCTCCCCAGTGGTCCGGGTGGGGACGGGCCAGGAAAAGACATCTGAGACCTAGCAGTTATTTCTGCGTATCGTTCATTCTATTTTCTGATGTCAGCACATATCCCAACCCACCTAGCATTCCCCCAGCCATCGGGGAAGATTCACAATTATAGGTAGAGATTGAAAGGAAACACAAAGGTAATTATGGGTTATTTGTGTAATCAGAGGCTCTACCACTAAAGGATCTAATCACCGCTGAGGGGCCCCGGAGCCAGAAGCCCAGGTTATATTCACACAGCTCCTGAAAGGCTTCCGGCCAGGGTTCGAGAAGGTGCTAGGAATCTCTAGGGGGGTTCGCAGTTGCTTGCCGGTAGCTCACCTCTGGGAAAGAGGAGAAGCTGCCACATTCTCCCCCACGCCTACCATATCCTTGCCTCTGCCCTCTTCTTCCAGAGTGGTTTCACATGTCCCCAGATCAGAGCCATCCCGCAGCATACGCAACATAGGCACGTGTGTAAAACTCCCCTGTTCCCAAGCTTCCAGCCCGGAAGGCTTGTGAGTTGGCCAACTGCTTGTCAGGGTCTGAAGGTTGAGGATGAGGTCAGAGGTGGACTGAAGAACCAGTTCCAACCAGCACGGTCATCCTTTGCTCCCTCGTGCCATCAGGAAGGATTTGGACTTAACTGCTCCAACATGGAGCAGGAGAGAGGGTCTTGCCTCATCCAGTAAGTTGGGGCAGGGCTGGACAGGTGGGGATAAGACTGTTGCCATCCTTCTAAAGAGAAATGTGGAAAACCAGATTGTCTGGCGATTCACACATACGTGCTTACTGGAGTCCATTCACTGTGACCCAAAGATAAGTGATCCCAAAGTAAAAAGCTGCCTTGGCGGTGTTGCTCGATGTTTGGGGCGGAGGGATTGAGTTTGCTGTGCGTTTGTCCAACAGAGACTTAAGAGAGCGAGTAAGCAAAATCAGGTCTATTCACCTTAGCAGACCTTCAGCTTCCTTCTCCCATCCCTCCCCCAAGCAGGGACTGTGATCACATGCTTTGTTTGCAGATGTCCCTGAACTAGACCTGGAGCACGAAACCTGGATGTGACCTGCTTCGTCATCCTGCTTGGACTTTTGTGATAGACTCTTTGGGGTGGGGGGGGGTGGGGGGGAATTGTACTTTTCTTGTTATTGCTAGGAAAGCCTCACGTGTGTATTGTGGAAAATTTAGGGAGGGCGGGGGAGACAAACTCCAATCCGTCATCCTACCTCCCAAGACAAACATAGCTATCCTTTTGGACTCATCGTTAAATTCTTTTTGGTATAAATGTAGACGTGCCCGTGCAGGGTTGTTTCTTTTTTTAAAGACAAAAACTGGAGTACAGTGTATATACTCTTCAGTAACTTACTTTTCAAAATGTGTATTTCTATTTCAGAATATGTAATACATGCACAGATACAAAATTCAAAAAGGGCAGAAAGCTCTACAGCAAGAAGTAAATCTTTCCACCCTGTCTGCCAGCATCTAGTTCCCTCCAATTACTTGTGCTGTATATCCTTCCAAAAACACTTATGCATTTTCAAATATATGCGTATATATTCTTTTGTCACACACAAATGGTCGCACATCAGACACACTGTTTTGTACTTCGTACTCCTTCACTTCCTATACCATGGACGAAACATTTTTTGTATGTCTCTCCAACTTTTTCAGCAGCACCTCCATTATGTGGATGGGCTCTCATCTGGTAACCAATCTCCTAATAGCGATTATCTTCATTTGTTCTCAATCTTGACTGTAAATAATGTTGCAGCAGACATTCTTGTAGCTAAATTTTGCATACACCGATGGCCATTTCCTTGGGATAAAATCCAAGAAGGAAATTGCTTGGCTACCTTTAAGAATTTTGTTATAGGTTGCCAACTGCCCTCCAGAAAGTTTGTACTACACTTTGCACTGTCCTATTTGCAGACCTGAGAGTGCCCTGTTCCCCGCACCCTCACTAATAGTGGGTATTGTCGCTTATCAAACCTTTCCCAGTTCGGTAGGAAAATAATGGTATGTCAGTGTTATTTGAACTCACGCTTCTTCAATTATTAGTGAATAGCATCTTCAAATGCCTACTGACCATTTGTACTTGTTTCTTTGTGATTTTTCTATTTATTTGATATTGCTATGTTTATCTTTATTACCAATTTGTAATTTTATTAAGAATGTTATTTTTGTCAAGAAACATCCCAAATAGGCTTTCCAAGTGCTTTGCTTTCAAATTTTGTTTATGGTGCTTTTTGACACACATAAATTCTTAATTCTGCAACTAATTTGTTTCTCTGTTGCCACCTCCTTCTGCCTGCGGTCCACCCTGTCATTTCTGTGAGAGTTCCTCTTCCAGAACATGGTCTGATTATGTCATTCCACAGCTTAAAAATCTTAAGCATAGCACACAAGGTTCCCTAGGTAATTTCTCCCACTGACTCTTCCAGGCTCCCTTCCTGGTCCTCTTCCAACAGTATCCTATGTTCTACAGTCACACAGCCCCTTGTGATTCTCCAAACTCACTGCTTTGGGTCTCTGGGCCTTTCCATGCTGTTCCTTCTGCCTAGTAGGCCATGCCTCAGCCCTCCAATCCCCTCTTTGTCTTGCTAACTCCTATAGGACTCCACCAAGGCATCACTGCTCAAAAGCTTTCCCTGACCCCGTGGTCTGTACTTCTAAAGCAACATAAGCCTACCTGTGGGTAGCATTTGCTACAAAGAATTGGACCTTCCTACTGATGTTTGTCTCGCTCACTCCCTGCACGTTCCTCAAGACAGGTGCTATGGTTTATTCACCTTTGCAGCCAGAATGCTGAGCACAATGCCTGGCACACAGTAAGTGCTCGATAAATACTAAGCCCTGAGCCTGGAATGAACGGTTAATGGATTCAGTGGCAAATGTTACTTGGGGTAAATGCAGGCCTGGACTGGATCTGTGCTTCTGAAAACTGAGGAACTGTAGGAGGCTCAGGTTGGAAGAGAAGCCACGCGCCCCAGTGCTGTGCTTCCCAAAACATCAGAATCACTTGAAGTAGCTTTTTAAAAATACATAATCTCAGCCTCTGCCTTAGACCCATCGAATCAGACGCCTGGGGATAATACTCAGGATACTA